ATGGGAATGGACTGATATTTCCAAACAAACCTGTTTTGCAATCCGCAAAGCACATTCTGCCTGTAAGCGAGCAAAGTGAGTGAGACGGATTGTGCTGTTGAATACATGATCACGTGATAAATAAGTAACCGCGCAATGCCGAATATTCAGCCAGACAGCCGATAAAATAAAAGTAAATTACGAATACGTAGGTACTTTGCCAACCCAGTGCAATCAGACGCGATTTTTGCTAATTCCAGGATTAGCCGGTTAATGTTTTCGTTATTAAAATTGAGTGGGTACAGGTCGTATAAGTAAACGTTTCATAGCTTACCTCAGACCATTCGGATGAAGTTCCCACTAGTCGCCACGTGGCGGCTCCATTATGTGAAGTAATTACGGTGACGAGCAATAAAAGATATGTGACAAACAGGAATCTGCCGGTGAGAAGTAAGGCTAGCAAGAGACACTCTGTGACGGTTTGATTATTTTGTTGCAAAAAGTCAGGAAACGTAATAAAAGTTAACTAGAATTTATACTTGGTCCTAAAGAATTTTGATAGAACAGTACTAAATAAACCCACAACGTATTTTACGATATATTATTTCAACTATTAATTTTCTGTTTGATAAATTGCAAGTAGACAAGGATACAACAGCGAAAAAATAAAAATAGTGTATAACTGAAATAAAATATAACATACTAGAAGGCTCCAGAAATAGCATAGTATAATGAGAAAAAATCTAACTTGTGTGATGTATTATCACAAATGAAAATAAATGCAAACAGTATGATTCGTAATAAAAGTAAATACGACGTATATAAAAGTAAATACGATAAATAATAACAGGATAGATAAGAAAATGAGGAAGTGCAGCAAGTTAAAGAATCATACAAGGAAATGTGAACGCAAATGACAGCGAGGGAAAATAGCAAATATTGTGCATATTATTGTACATATAGCAAGTTGAAATAACATAAGGACACGTCAGCAATTCCGTGGGGGTGAAAATGAATTAGGAAAAATAATTACCACAAAAATCAAAGAACTATCAAGCAAAGTACATGAGCGTGAGTGACCAATCAGAAAATAGTGTTCGAGTAATCGAATGATATGCGCCGAAGAAGGAAGAAGAGACGCGTCTGTGTACTACGGATCTGGAACAAATGAAGGGCGCGCAGAGAGAACAAAAGAGGAGACGATTCTTAGAACTGGTGGCGATTGAATGTGAGGATGATACTTTCGACGTTGCTGAGTAACAATAAAAATATAACTTTTAATTTGAACGCAATAGTTTTAAAAGCAGGTAATAGCATTATTAATTAGTAATACCTTTATGACGACTTATTCTTAGAAAGGAATGATTCTTAGACAGGAATGAAAAATATAATCGCGCGAATGGAAGAATGGACTTATTGGTGGTGACTGAAACCAACAAACACTGAAACCAGCAAGTGGAACAAACCTGGGACGACGATCAAGCAGTCATTCTACGAAACGAAAGTTAATAAATGGCGAAAGTAAATAAAAAGTTATAGCAGAAGCGTCAATGTGTTCTCCCCAAACTGTAAAATGAAAAAAATGAATTCGGCAGAAATTATAGGCATCAATGTCGACTTTATTAAAAGATTCCAAGTGATTTTTGCTGCCCTGACCAGTGGCTTCTCCATCAACGGTACGGATATCAGGGAATTTACAATAAGATTGGAGATCTCTATGTGTAACTTTACATTGGTTTTATATGCCCACAACCGTACACAAAATTCTGATCTACGAAGCAGATGTCAAAAATTCAATGATACTTTCAATAGAGCAACTGACGGAAGATGAGCAAGAGCTCTGACATAATGAATATCGGATAGCAATATAGTATAGGAAACAGAAAATCCCGAAAAGAAAATGCCTAAAAAATATCGCGATCTGCAACAAATGAAGACAGTCTTTTGCTTTCATCAGACCCTCTCATTTCGAGTCTGCGGAAAACACAGACAAGAGCTGAGCGTCTCCCAGATGACGTGTCGAGTTTATTAATTCCTGATTATAATGACATTGAAAACGAAACGTGTGAACAATCAAATGACAGAGAATCGGGTATACATTTGGTCTAAGAGCTCAAGAAAGTATCTATTTATTATTTTTATTTCTATTTGAAAGTCAAAACAATACATCATTTGGTGTTTTGTCTTTTGATATAAAATGTGTTAATTTTCGCTTCTTCAGTGCAGCTCTAATAGGTAGCAACGCCAACAGTAATAAATGTCTAATTTCTTAGCCACGCATTCCATGTTATTTTCATAACTATCATGTGTGTGATGTCATTGTTGTTTCTCAAAAAAATGTATGAATGCTTTCGGAAAAGTCTGTCTCGAAATAACGTCCTTCTCTCTTTAACTAGTAGTGATTTTACCACTTGCTGCAGTATCGGTTACATCCAAACAAATATGAGACAGATGACTCTTTCGTCTGTCACTGATGTTCAATGACTGTTCCTCAGCGGAACTGATCTCCTTCGGTGAACGGGACGACAAACACAACATTATTCAGCCGGAACCTAAACACTTGGAAGATAGAAAATCGGGTTCAGATTCAATGCTGGTCTGGAATAAACTCTTTAGCCAATTTTCCCCAAAATTATTATTGCCCGACAAATATGAATGACTCAAGACTCTGGAAGTTCCAAACAGATATTTTAATTTTTGAGGGTACTTTACATGAAGTCAGCTTTTACGTTTTTGAGCGTCGTCCCAGAGTCGAAACCTTACGGTGCTTCTGTGACCTACTAGCATGCGTGACGGATAGTAAACTCTGAGGATGTGAATTCGGGTTCGTAACGGAAACAAATTTCTGGTTAAAATCACCTTTGCAGGGTTATATAGTAATATAATATTGCGGAGCATAAATCATGCGAGGAAGTAAGTGCAGTTGTAATACCACTAGTTTCTAACGTTAGAGTAAATAATTTTGAAAGCGTGAACGACCACATTGTTAATTATTAAGTATGTAGCAATAGTACAAATAGACCTGTCCCGTAATTTTTGGACAATCAAAGTATATCAATAAAGGATATCCATGTAATCAAGCGATTCTTGCTCGATGACTGCGCAGGTAGAATTCATACATGTTGACGGAACTGAGCAACGGGGAGAGTGGACCTCCAACATACATCAACGCACCTCCAATTGCGAAAATAACACCACAGCTAGTGAAAATAGCACAAATGGATTTGTTGCAGTAGACGCAACGGTTTTGGGTACGTCCATTAAAATATATCCACAACATGAAGATAAATTTATTCAAACTGCAATAGGGAATAACCTGGTGGCAGCTAACATGTAGTTTATCATATTTATTTCAGTTTTTCATTGTTAAAAACAACTTTCTGTTAAAGAAAATTCTTACTGATATAACTTATTGATATAACTTTAATATTGTTTTTGCACTTTCAAAAGCATTATCTGTTGCATTCTTCTCTATCAAAAGTTGATAAATTTCTCTTAACCAGCTGTGTTTAGGCCTTCGTCTTTTCTTCCTACCTATAGGAAACCACTTTAAAATGATATTTGGAATTCCTATTTCTGTCATTCTTTTAACGGGTAAAAACAATTGAAATCGCTTATATTTAATAGTTTTTAAAATAGTGTGTTTTTTATTCATTTTTTTAATTTTTTATTTCTTATTTTATGTAATTTTGATATCTTGGGCAACTTTTTAAAAATTATCCATTTCTGTTTCCAGTACTTATAAATTTAATTTTTTTAATTTCCATGTTTTTATCAATATAAAACAGCATTTATACAATAAACTTATATATTCTTAATATCAATATTTTTTTATGTTTATCCCATAAAATTTTATTTAGCATTGAAGATCGTATAAATTTTGGGCGCATTACCTTCACTCAGGTTTTATTGATGATCAGGGCCTGACGCGTCAATCTCTAAATTCACGAACCTTATACGTTAGCCTTAAATAATAAAATAAAGTAGTTATTTATGCACCAAGGGCGTTATAAGGGTTCTAAGAACCTAGCTGTCACAAAATGCCCGAGAACCTTTGGCACGAGACATTTTTGTCACCCGTGATCGTTCGAAGTAGTTAACGCCCGTGGTACATGGATAATTTTATTGATTTTTACCCAATTTTATTGATTCAGATTTTCTTATTTATTAATTAACTATATGTTATTTTGACTCGGTTTGAATTTTCATATTTCTCTCCCATAATTCTTTCATAATTTCCTCTCATAATGGCTTCCATAAGAGAACATGTAGCATCATTCAACTGTTTTCATATTTCCCTCGTAACCATGATCCTTTCGATTCGGGGAAGTTTTGCAGTGTATATAGAGCACCGCATCGAAGGCAATATCAAGCTATAAGGTATCATTAGGAAATGAAGGTGATTAATTGGCTGTGCGCAGGGCCGCGCGAGGACGAGGCAGGGGCGCCGGCTCGCATGCCGCACTTCGACTCCCTGCGCCTGCAGTTGGACAACGGGAGCGAGGCACTGGTGAGCACGATGCGAGGTGGTGGCCGCCGCTTTGCGTAATGGCCGAAGATACAGACAATACTCACTGGCGGTACACATCAGTTATCCTTAAGAGAGCAATAATTAGAGGGGGGAATTTTTTGTAAAAATGAAATAAAAATCGGATTTTTATTTTTAAATATTTTTTATTTAAATTGGATTTTTTTGATTGATCTAATTTTTTCATTTTACATCTATTAAGTTTACAAACGATGCCTAATGTTACAATGTTATGTTGTCTCCCTCTCTCTCTCCCTCTCTCTCTCATTATCTCTCCCTCTCTCTCTCTCCCTCTCTCTCGCCCCTCTCTTCTCTATCCTCTCTCTAGTTTCTCTCCTCTCTCTCTCTCATGTCTAGTGTCACTTGTCTCGCCTCTCTCTTGTCTCTCTTCTCTCTTGTCTCTCCTCTCACTTGTCTCTCTTCTCTCTAGTCTCTCCTCTCCTCTCTCCCTGTGCGGATGTGCCCCTGACGTGGCGTGCGCGGCGGCGCAGGTGAGCCTGTCGCGGGGCGCGCGGCGCTGGCGCGAGGCGCGGCGCGCGTGCTGGGCGCGCGGGAGCGACCTGCTGGACGACGTGGTGGGCGCGGCGCGGCCGGCCCAGCGCCTGCTGGCGCAGCGCCGCCTCGACGGCCGGGCGTTCGTCGGCTGGCGGCGCAACCCGGCGGCGGACGAGCGCTTCGAGACGCTCGCAGGTACGCAGCGCTCCGCGTTGTCTGGTTCGCGCACGCGCGCCGGGTAGAGTGTCTCAGAGTGTGTAACCTGCCAAGATTACTAGTCCGGTAAGTGCATGTTGGGGTTTCCTCGCGATATGGCGGCGATCTCCCCACGCTATATAATGAAATCTGGAGACGACATACCGTCAGCTAGTGGAGTTTTCCATAATGAGGTATCTCCCATCAGCGGGGCATGGCGTCAGTCGGGACGTGTGAGGTAATGTGGTGCATTTAAGTTTTACGTGGGTAAGTAAGAGGTGAGGATAATACAAGAAAAGATCTCGCGTATACTGTGACCCGTTTGTTAGGGTACTGCTCCGGCATTCGCCTGGCGTTGATCGGAGAAACCACGGAAAAGAAACGCTGAGCCCAGCCGGTTTCTAGAGTTCTCGTTGAAGCAGCGGCTGAAATCGACCTAGCTAATGACCGAAATCCTCGGGACTCGAATCGAGGATCTCCCGATCAGAGGCACTCATGATGTCAACTAAAGCGCTGAGTTACCAAAGCCGGTAGAGTTCAGCTGACGTTAGCGATTAAGAATGGCGTCTCAAAAGCATCGACTTTTTTCACAAGATTCTCATTTTTTCAAAATATTTACAAAAAAAGCTATTTTTTAGGCAACCTCTCCTCATAATCGCTCTCCTTATACTCCTTCTCTTTTATACTCCTACTCGTTATCCTTCTTCTACACCTTCTCTGCCTATTTCTACTCCTCTTTTTCCGTAATGTGTCTTCTCCTTCACTGAATTATTACTGATCATCACTGATTATTTCTTCAAACTTTTCTGTCTTTCGCTACAAGATACTACTTAGATCCACTCTAAATACCAGTTCTTCGGGAATTTTATTCTAACAGAACATCCTCTTCCTGTCAACAGGAAACTTCGGCATGAACAAAATTACATTGACATCACACGTAAGAAAGTCTACATTGACATTCGGTGTGTATTATCTTGAATGCTACCTCAACCACAATTTCTGCGTAGTTACGATCCTTAAATTGCATTGGGTTATCTAGATTTTTGCGCGTGTTCTTTCACGTGACCCCTACTTGCACTTTTAACAATCCTAAGGTGAACAGATATTTCACGCGAATTCTAGCTTTCGCCTACTACCCATCAACGTAAAACCGTAACAATGACGTTTTTGAAAACTACAGTTCTCTAGTTATAAATAAACACAATAATAACAAACATATGTATACACACAAGAAGTTATGAAAGAGATATCTGTGAATGATGAGACGTAGCAACTTGAAATACGAATGTATTCCTTTTAGTTTGATGTTGGGAGTGGCTACTGACGTTACTGCTGCTTTGTAGATTTGTTTAATGGACAAATTAGTGCATTGACTTTCTTCGTTAACAGGAAGGCCTAGATCCGTTTTGTTAACCATTTACTTCCATTCTATTGCAGGTGATCCAGTGAGACAGAGCGATTTCGTGCACTGGGCGTCGGGCCGCCCGTCGATGTCCTCATCTGAAGAGGCCCGAGATGCGTGTGGGGCACTGGCGGTAGAGAGCCTCTTGTACGATGTTCCCTGCGACGATCCCTTGCCGTTCTTTTGTCTGCGTGTCCAGTCGCCGAGTTGGTGAAGAAGCTTCATATAATACGCGAAGATTCAAATGATTTGAATAACTTCTTGTCTTTATTACCGAAATATAAGAAATACATTGCTGATATGTACATCACTCCATATGTATTCACTTTTTTTATTGCTTTCTTCATCGACCAGAAGACTAATACGGAAATGTCTCATAATAAATGTTATAAAGTTCTAGAGAATGTGGAGGGGTAAAAAATGATCACCTTTTGCTAATGAATGTAGGTTAGAAATTTTATATATTGAAGTTACATATGTGTTCTCCCCTAATTTTAAGGTAACCCTTTATGTACAGAGTTTTGGGAAGTCACGTTCTGACTCATTCAAGGAGAAAACTTCGTTATTAGCAATTTCTCATTCGTTGGCAAAAGGTGATCATTTTCTAACTCTATGTATCCCTTGGAAACCTACAACATTTATTCTCAGACACCTTTGTAGTGCCTCAGAGATCTTGTAATTGGCCAACGGTATGCCAGATCTCCATCGTTTGCAGAGTATTATCTTTTCACGAGGTTTTGCTGCAATGCCTAATTACAGCACCTTTGGATGTGGGTAAAAAGTGGGACTTTTCACTGGAAAATTGAAAATTATAAAATATTTTGGAAATATTTGTATAATTTATGGTTTTGTATTATATAGTTACAAATCTTACTAAATTGTGAAGATACATCAGTCTTTATTCGACATAAAATATAATATGTTTTGTCATGAACATTTCATGCAAATATTGTTGCGAAAAGCTTTTTTCCTTGTTTCTTTCTGGTACTTTTGTCTAGCAGAAAGGCGGTTACCCTTACAGGTATATTCGACCATACACAAGACACCATCACACTTGCGGGCTCCTCTGATCTGTGGCCAGCAGAACAGGATGCCCTCCACGGGAACGTATACAGGCAAGGGACAAGCAACCATGCCCAAGGCGGGACTGGAACCCGCGATCCTTCGTACCGAAGGGCAGAGTTGGTACACGCTCTTAGCCATCTCGGCCAATCAGGCCTGCAAAAGCTTTTTACAAATGTAGAAATTGAAAATAAGTGTTTTGTTTCTATAGGAATTGCCGTATGTTAATTAATAATTCTATTTATAAACTTAGAAAAATTGTTTCATACTTAATAGAATCAAAATGTAAGCTACGAAGGCCATTTGTTAACAAACGGGACCTTGTATCTTGCTAATGCTAAGTTTAAGATATCACATCACTTACTTCTTGGATTACCATTACCATTATCGGTGGTGCTACAATAGTACATATGTTTTTTATGCTATAATTATACTTCTAGTTGAAACAGTGAAAGTGTCGTTAAACACGTAAAAGAATGAATGTGACAAGTTTGGGGTGCTGTTCATAGGTAAGGTACTTACGTCTAGAGTGACATCTTAATCAACTAAATTATCATCTCGTAAGTTGGAGTCCAACAACCGGTACATAAGTTTGATTTTACATTTAAGAAAAACATTTTCAACGAAAATAGAAACTGGCCCATTTTTATAAGCACACATTACTGTTTTTAAGAAAAAAATTAAACACATATGTTACACTTATAATCAATATGAAGGTTATACTAAAATACTCAATTAAATAGATACACTACATATATTCCATTCCCATTGGCACAATAGGCAATACAGTTAATTGTTTTTACGTTTTTCTGTTCAGCATGGGTAATTCTGGGCATACTTATATATGCTACTTATCCAAATCGAGATAAAAGTTTTAAATACCTCTTCTATTGCAAGAATCTTTGAAAATGCTGGGAACGATTCAGATATAAAAAGCTAGAAAGCTCAGCTTTAAATACGAATCAAAGCGAAATACTGTTCCTTAACAAGTCACGTATCTCAACGTAAATAGGTTTTCAGTGACGTGCGATTACAATGTTACCAATTTTTTACAATTAAAAGAAGGATGAAAAAATTTGATAAAAAAGTAAAACATAAATAAATGAAACATTTTATTAAGTCAAGCAAAAATGCACTAGTAATGCTTACATTCCTTTAGTTCATTTAAATAAACAAGTATTGTTTTATCAACAGAACACTTTTGGTTAATATATCATTTTCAGACCATATGTTAGAAATTTATGAGCAAGATCATGCTTGTTCAGTAAATATTCACAACAATAGTTGCAGTGAATAGTTCGCGGTGTCACCACGAATGAAAAAAATATTTACAACAGTGATTATTGTGAAAAAGTGTTTAGAATCTGTGGATATAATAGATTCGATATAATTTTCAAACACATTTCTGTTAAAATTCGAGAAAAGTTTTTTATAACAAAATATTTTTTGTAACGAAATTAATAGTGAATAAATAAATTTCCATTTATTTTCCGCTATCTCAATTTTTCTTCACACCGTTTTATCCTCTATCCACGGAACTACTTTTTTCCCGCGGTATGTTCAAAACTCACTGAAAACGGCGGGAGTTCCGCTGAACAGGCATCACTAATCGCCTCTTTCCGAACAGTACCGTCACATGACGCGTAACAGTTTGGCACGGCATCTCTGAATACAGAGATTAACAGATTCGTTTAAAATATCAAAAAGGAGGACAGGTAGGATGGCACTTTTTGAGGAAGAACAGGACCTACAATAGAAGGACTGTGTTCCCTAAAAGAGGATGTAGATCAATGAATTTGATCAAACACTAATTGCTAGCCACTACATATACGTTTTCCTTGCCTTGATTACATCGGTAGACAAGTTTGATTTGATTACATCGAAATAAGTTAACAATTTCAGAATACCATAATGAGCGATCAAAACTTCTTAAAGTAAAATAAATGTATTTGTCAGATGTACGTTAAATATATTGTTTTCCATAAATCAATTTCATTTCATAAAAATGTATTCTACTTTGTACTATTAACACTACCAGTAACTATCACAAAACTCCTACAACTCCCGGCTGACGTGTACACATTTTGCGGACGACAATATGACGAGTCAAATAAAGCGCCAGAAATTGGAAATTACCGTTTATTTTTTGTTGTTTTTTTTTCAAATTTCTAAAATACAGAGAATGCACCAGAAATACACCACTTTCTTTACAGTTCTTTGCTGTATTAGAGAAAAAAGGTTTAAAAATATTGGAGCGGTTTCGGAGAAAATAACTGTTTAAAATTTAAAAGTTGTCTATGTTTGACGCAAACTTACGCAAAAAAATCATCATATTTTTAAACTTCAACACGTCTGTCCTTGATGATCAGTTTTTAATAAACACATTTCATTAAGAAAACAAATCTTCATAATTGTAATTGCGAAAATATGTGAATTTTTGCATTTCTCGAAAAATCAAGAAATTCAATAAAAATGAGACCTGCACTATTCTCTTAAGGGTTCTTAACGCTAATCTTGGCCAAAATTTAATCAAAAACCTTAGTGTCATTTTTTTATTATTTTGAAAGTTTTCTAGTGTCTTCATGTAAAGTATCCTTCCCCCCAGAAATTGTATAGAATCTGAATAATCAAACTAATTTTAACTTCTTATAATCAATGTTTTGTACCAATCAACTTGCGTTAAGCTACGCTGGGTATAACAGCTTAGACAATGGGGGAGAAATTCTTACAGCTGGTGCTCTTTATTAAGCTGGACATAGATATGGTATTCAAGAGTGCAGAGTCCTTGCAACCTGCCAACTTGCAGCAGTCACATTGGGTACAGCACCCGCACTGTGCCGAGTAACATATACAAAATCAGCTTCGAAACGTGCTCACGGTAAGTTATTGTGTATATGGGCGGCGTAGAGTCGCAAAAGGTGAGAGATTGTGGAAAACATCATTTTAATTTATTGTGGCAAATAATCTGCAGTTTCTTTAGGTTAAAGAGAAGAAATCAAGTAAATCAATTTTCGTATATTACCTAGTAAAATAGTATAAGCTAGTATACGCACTGATTTACAAACATTGACTCAGATTACTTTCAAAATAATACAGATTATATTACATAAACAAAGAAGTAGTAAATGAAAGAAGTTTTTGATGTAGAAATCATTACAATTTTATGCAATCGTGTGCTTATTGCATAAGACTGAGATTTGATTATTGGATAACATTTGGATTAACATATATTTTTTTCTGTTTTCCATGAGAATTATAGTAAATTAATTACTATAATTTTAGATATTATTTGATATTATTTTAAGAAGTTACTTAAAATAGCATCTCGAAAAATGTATAGCACCAACAACATTTTTGTGCACATGCAAACGTGCGCATAGGCACGAGCCGCCACTGGTTTGTGGTGTAATTTTCAAATTGGATGGTTTTTGATTTCAGGGAAATCAAAGAAAATATCATGAAACTGACGAACTAGTTCGTTATGGGTGCAACATGGCTGCTTGCCGCCATTTGGTGCAAATTTGTCCACGGTGATGGTATTACGTGTGCTTCTGGTCTGAAGGTCAGAAAGCGGGTGATAATAAATAGCCACAAAAATGATTCGGGACACTCGTTTTCACAGGTAAGAATGATAAGCAGTCTTTATTAAAATGTGAATATTGCTGCAGATTCAATTTTAACCAGTAAAGGTTAAAACCACCGTCACCAAAATCACAGATTAGGTTCCGAATAAATCTCAATATACTCTTTATGGTCATTGATTATTTAGTTTCGCTTGCGTTAAAGTATCAGAGACTGTATGACGACGTAATTACATATTGTCATTTGGTCATGAAATAAGCGGATTTTTTTGAGTTGAAAAGTCGTAACCAAATTTTGCTTCACTAAACTTTTGCTCAAAGTTGAGTATTTGTTTTCATATAATTATCATCTCTTTAGAGCCTAAAGGGCCTTCCACACAAATAATAAAAATTACCATTGAATCAGTTTTTAAATAATTTGTTGAATATTATAACACTGAATACAATATATTATATTATATATATGGTATTTAATACAATATCATACAATACAATATCATTACTCGAAATCAACCATCACTCGAAAAAGTCTTCCGGAAACAAACTGAACAGTATCTAAAAAATCACTTTTAAACGATCAGCAATCAGGTTTCCGTCCCGGCAGATATACTGGAAACGGGCTACTGAATTTCATTGAAGATGCGAGGACAGCAATAGATTTCAATAATATAACTATCATGAATCTTCTGGATTTCAGCAAAGCATTCGATTCAGTAGATCCTGACATCTTGCTCGAAATACTAAAACTCATGGGATTTGCACAGCATACTCGTACATGATTTCTTAATTACTTAACTTCCAGAAGTCAAAGAGTGCTGGTTGGTAGCCGCAGCTCAAGTGACTTGAAACTTAACCGCGGTGTTGCTCAAGATACTGTTAGGACCACTGGCCTTTTTAATTTACGTAAATGACGTAGGAAAATGCACTTAAATATTGCAGTTATCAAATGTATGTAGATGTTCTTCAGATATATCTAAGTTGCCACCCATCTTACCTGTTCTCATTACAGAAAAATTAACGAATATTTGTTAACCGTAAACAAATAGGCAGCGTTTATAGACTTAAAATTAAACCCAAATAAATCACAGTGCACGAATTTTAGTTTGAAAAGAGAGCACTATGAATAAAATATAATATTCTGCTCTGTCTAAAAATGATATAAATGACACCGTTCTACCTTAGCGTTCCGAAGGCAAGAACCTTGTTGTGTTTTTCGACATCCTCAGCTGGAACTCGCAAGTAGGTTCAACTTGCCGCGAAGTTTTTGCCGCAAATGCATTCACTGAAACGCCTGAAAACGCTTTCAATTACTACAGGCGAGACTCTCGTTAATTCACTTACTATGGCACATTTTGATTATTGCGACCTTCTGATCAATATGACACCTAAATTACAACGTAAACTTCAAGTAGCACTGAACGCATGCCTACGGTTTATTTTTTATTTACGAAAATACGACAATGTATCGAATTTTTTGACAGGCTTCATATCTTACTCTAGACAAAATATGACTACTCCACTCCTTACTTCTTCTTTATAAAATTGTACATGGTTCTCATGTAATACATCTGAAAAAGAACTTCAATCCTCGGAAACAAAATCGAGCTCGTGATTCAGGTCTGCTTCGTGTACCACGTCACAACACGACTTCGTTCAGTAGATCATTCACCATTACAGCTATCCGAGCTTTGTATAAATTCCCAGCGAGTCTAAAACATTCAGATATTGTCCGTAAATTAAAATATAAATTAAGATAAATTAATTGGGTAAGAAATAATGACATATAGAATGGCGTTATAATTATCTTCAATCTCCAGACTTCCCGCCTCCAATCACCCACTCACCGTCACCGTTAAACGCCGTACTTTCTTCGCTCTTTAAATTCAAAATTTCATCCCTAACCTCATTATTCTATCATCATTTTCCATTCTCTCTCACTCCATCTAAATTATTTATAATCACGTTTTTCAGTGTATCACAATGGAATTATTCAAACAAAATATAAACAAGTGTGTAGCCACGCTCCAAAAGAAGTGTACTTGTAGTTACCTTTATACCGTCATCATTATCTTTATTACAATATATTGGCCTTAAGCATAAATTGATGTTTAGATCCTACTGTGTATTATAATGATCATTAATACTGTAAATATTGTATTTTAAATTACTAATACTATTAAATTTGCTGTGTATTGTATTTCTCTGCTTTTTAAAAGGATTGTATGGGTGTGTAAAGGGCAAATGTGTACAAAACGTAGCATTCTGTATTCTTTCTTAAAAAATTTTACCTTTTCCACTTCATCCTCCTTTTCTTCGCTTCTTTTCCCCTTCCTTTCTCTCACAGAGTTCCCAATTTTTACTTTATGATCCCTTTCCCTGAATGTATTTTCTTCTCTTTTTCTCTACTATGCATACCATAGTTTGTTCTATTAATGTTCGGCATGAACCACCATTGCGATTGAGTTTTTCTGGATTTACTCAATCGCTTAAGGCGTTCGCCGGGATGGTCACTGATTTTGCACCCCTAGACGTAAATGTGGTACAGTTTGACCTTCCCTCTTAAATGTTACAATCAAGGCAGATTCAGTGGTTAGGCGGAAGAACAAGCCCTATAGTCTGAGTCTCGCCGTTAATGAATAATAGTTTTGCTCGCTAATAGGCCGACTTGAACCACGCGTGCATGCACTGTGCATTCAACGCGGCGCTCAGAAACATTATTTCGGTGGCAGGTGCATGTAATTTTTTGATCAGGGAGATTAACCTTTATCTGGATCCGATTTTTATCCTCCAGCGTTGTTAGCAT